ACAGTGGAGGCCTTGGAGCTGAGTAGGTAGCCAGTGGGATGATGGAGCACTGGAAGTTCCTCAAAGTTCCCAACCTGCTGGGCAGAGCACACCCAGACAACTTTGTCCAGCTCTCTCCTCCCCCATGAAGCAAGTTCTGTGCAAACCCAACCCTTCAGCAACCCTCTTGCTGCTAGGAAGCCTCTCAGACCACCTGCCTTTCCTCTGACACAGAGCAGCCAGATGTGTATCCCGTCCTCCACAAACTGCTGGAATCTCAGTCTCTCAAGCACTCTGCCTATAGCTGGGTTCTTTTCTCTCCTTTTTCTTCTTCCTCCATTCTTTACATATTAGGTATCATATGCTGTACTTTTTGCCTAGCCTTTGACTCACTTTGGAGGTAGTTGATTTAATTTTGTATTTGCTCACTAATTAACTGTTCAACTTTCTTTCCTGTGGTTTTATTACCTCTGCTGACAGCGATTAAACCTTAGGAACACTCTCATCTATAGCAGTCCCTCAAAAATACACTGTAGAGATGGTTTGTGAGAGGTAAATTCTCTCTGCTTTTGCTTATCTGGAAATTGTTTAATCCCTCCTTCAAAGATAATCTTGCCAGATAAAGTATTCTTGGTTTGAGACCCTTCATTGCATTAAATACATCATGCCATTCCCTTCTGGCATGTAAAGTTTCTGCTGAAAAGTCTTATGACAGCCTGATGGGCTTTCCTTTGTATGTGATCTTATTTTTCTCTCTGGCTGATTTTAATCATCTGTCTTTATCCTTGGCTTTTGCCATTTTAATTATTATATGTCTTGGTGTTGTCTTTCTTGTGTTCCTTGTGTTGGGGAAGTTTTCAGCAATTACCTCCTCAAAGACACTTTCTTTCAATATTATTTCATTCCTAGAGATCCTTTTTTCTCTGTGGGCCTCAGGTTCTTTGTATTCCTCTTCTCTAATTTCTATTCCATTTACCATCTCTTCTACTACATCTAATCTGCTTTTAAATCCCTCCATTGTATGTTTCATTTCTGATACTGTGTTCCATAATGATTGGATCTCCATCTGGAATTCTTCCCTGAGTTCTTGAATATTTTTCTGTAGCTCCATGAGCATGTTTATGATTTTTATTTTGTAATCTCTTTCAGAAAGATTGGTGAGTTCAGTTTCACCTGACTCTTTTTCTGGTGTTTGTGGGATTTTGGTCTGATCAGGTCCATTTGATGTTTCATATTTGCATGTGGCACCCTCTAGTGCTCAAAAGGTATACTCTCTGGAGCTGGTCTGCCCCTGAAGCAATGTCGGGGGTCACAGGGGAGCAGTGCTTGTACCTGGGGAGGGGAGGAAGAGCTGTTTCCTGCTTCCCAGCTGCTGTGCCTGCTTTCACTGCCAGAACCAGTGGCCCGAGCACACAGGTATAAGCCTCTTTGCTTTGTGTTTGTATCTCCTGTAAGCAGGGCTTCCCTCTGGCTGTCCTGTTACCAGGGAAGGGGCTTCTGGTTTCTGAGCTGGTGCCAGCCTGGAGGAAGGCACAACAGGCTGGGTATCACAGTGGGGTGCCTTGGAACTGCATAGCCAGCCAGGTGTATGGAGTGCTTGAAGTTCCTGTAAGTTTCCAACCTGCCAGAAAGAGTGTGCCCAGACAATTTTGTCCACCTGTACTTTCTCCTGAGCAGTAAGCTCTTTGCAATCCTTGCCCCTTTGGCAGCCCTCTAGCTGTTAGGCAGTTTTTCAGACTGCCCGCCTTTCTTTTGTCCACAACTGATTAGAATCTCAGTCTCTCCAGGTATTCCACCTGTCTTAGCTTTCGAACACCACTAATCTCTAGAGCACCATGAAAGTAGGTTCATGGGGGAAGGGCTTGGGTCCCGCCAGATCATGGCTTTGGTTACATTACGCTGTTCAGTGAAGTCTGTTCTTTTCTCCAGGTATATGCAGTCTGGCACAGTCTTTTTTCCTGTTGCTTTTTCAGGATTAGTTGTATTAATTATATTTTCATATTATATTTGGTTTTGGGGGGAGGCCTCTGTCTCACTTCTGAAACCACCATCTTTAATCCTGAATTGTCAAAAATATTCTATTTTTATAATACATTATGAACATCTGACTGACTCTGACTACTAATGAATTAATCACTTATGTGTATTTAAATATAAATATTTTACTGGTAAATCTTAAACTTAATGTTTTCTTAAATAAGTCCTTCACTTCTTCTCAATAGGTTTGGGGTGTCTTATTTTCTATTAGTCTTCAAGATTAATGGAATATATATACCTTCATCTAACTTTATCAGCATTTACATTGTCAGAAGAAAGTTAAGAAAGCATAGTTGATTATTACCAAATCCCTACAGATTTTGCATCAGCATACTTTATATTGGAGAACTCTTCAACCAACATACTTAGAAGTTCATCTTTTCAAACAGTCTTCAGGAAATGGAACTACATATATTAAAAAATGTAAAAGCTACAGGCAAATATGAATTTTACCAAATGATTTGGAAAGGCAAGTCAGAGAATTAACACGTGTACACACACCTGGCCAGAGTAATAACAGGTGGCTCCAAACTTCAATACCTCCTGCTCCAAACAATGGGCCTGAAGAGTGAACTTAACACACTGATGTTATCTTAGCACTTCCAGGGCCAATGTTTCCTTCCTCTTCAAGCTGTTCTTTCATTGCTTACCCAGAAGCAGTCCTCCCCCAGCCTTAATTACTACAATTACTCAACTGTTCACTGCACAGTATGATATTTGCACAATGCAGGTGCTGTGTGGTTTTTAAGCATAACCATTCTCTGAAGTCAGGAATGTGTTGCATGGTTTCCTAGTAGCTTTTTTTTTTGTAAGGCGGGGTGGAGGAGAGAATTCTTTTGTCTCTTACCCTCCTGGGTTTGACTGCAGGCAATACTATGGTGGCACTGAGTCAGGAGGACCCATTGGGATTCAAATCCAGTCACAGTACTTGTCCCACCTTGGGCAAATTACTTAATTTGAACTCAGTTTCCTCATATATATATATATATGAGAAATACACATCCACTGAATGAGGATAATAAATCTAACACCATGATGGTTGTGAGGACTAAAAAGTGAACTCATTTGCTGGGTGCCTGGCACATGTAAACACTCAACAGATAAAGGTTTCCCCACCTCCTTCCTTTGGTGATTATTTCACATGGTCTTCTGGGGGCTCATTCACAGAGTCAAGCAGCTCATGGAGAACCCGTTAGGTGAAGCTGTCAGTGTCAGAAAAGGACTGGTATGATCTTTTCTCATTTATTTGGATGATACATACTGAGTGTTTGTCATGTGCCAGATGGTATGTTAGGTGCTGGGGTATGATGGTGAGTAAAACCCCTGTCCTCTTGGAGTTTACAGCTTAGTGGGGACAGATGGGACATTGAATGGCCATGTATAAACCCTCAAAATTGCAACAATGACAAGTGCTGTAAGTGCAGTAAAAACCTATGAAGAGAATGGCTGGGTCAGAGAAACCAGGGAAGGCTTGAGTCTTCAGTGATGCTCAAGTTGAGATCTAAAAGATAAGCAGACCTGGCAAAGGCAGGAATGTGGAGTGTGCCAGGCAGACCAAGTGCAAGTGCAAAGAGCCTGTGGCAGAAGGGAACAGGGCTAGTGAAGGAAGCTTGGACAGAGCTTTGGAGGGGTTTTGAGGGGGAGTGAGGTATGAAAGTGACCCTGGGAGGAAGTGGGGGTTACAGAAGGCAGGGCCTTGGAGCCACTCTATGTCATCTGGGAATCTTTGAAGGTAAGTGCTTACAGTAACCAGAGCACGTAGTTAATTCCCATACATTGGCTTGAAAATTTTACAAGTTAATACATTACTTATAGCTAAAACAGAATCAAGTGTTTGGGTTTTATTTGAGACTAGATGGGATGGCAGGTTCCAACGGGACACTGGCTCATCCACACTCCTCTCCAGAAGCACTGAACCCGGGCGGACACCTAGCTTGGCTGCACATCCTGGGGAAGCTGCATGGTGTGCCTCCCAGAAGCCTGAGCTGGAACCAGGGCAGGTGGGCAGCCTCGGTCTGGTCTGCCATACAACCACCTGGTATCTGGTATCTTCTCACCACACGGAAGGGCTGAAAGAAATAGAAGAGTAGATAAATTGTTATTGATTATCACAACCCATATTCTTCTCAGGTCAAAACGTTAGTTATCACTATTATTCTTTTCATCTGCAATTGGAAGAATCACAAGAACATTTTGTTCCTTCTGACCTTTGGTGTCCTTCCCTCCTGTGGCTCCCTCAGAGGGAGGCTGCTGACAATTCACAGACTCATTGTTGAGTTCTGTGGGGGATGAAGCTCGGAATCAAAGGTAAGATCTTTTGACTCGTGTAGCAGGAGTCCCAGTGTGAAGCTCCTCTGTGATTACCCTGGGATTCAACATGTCAGAGCTTCACAGAGTGGCAGAGGGCACATAGGAGCCAAGATAAAAGGAGACAGCCATGTGAGACCCTCAGAAACAATCAGAGGTTTGGAAGGGGGCCCAAGAACCCCAGTGGGTGGGAGCAGAGTGGAAAAAACATGTTTGCCTCTGTGTGTCTATGGGCTGGGCAGCCTGAGAGACTAGGGTTATGTTCACAAGATGCATCATTGCACAGCCAGCTGGTGCCTTTGGGAGCAACATCCCCTGCAGGTGGTCTGATAATAGGGTTTGGGGACAGATTGTCACCTCCTTTCATTCCTGAAGGTCAGAAGGGTGCCATCGGCCTCGTTACAAGGCTGAATCAAGCAGGAAATCCCAGTGGGACTCCTCATTTTCCCCAAATACACCAATTCCACAGCATGGCGTTTATATATCTTATTCACAGGGAACCATTGCATTGTGGTGAAAGCCTATTCTCTGTTCAGATAGCTGTGGATTGGAAGTAGTTCTTATTTCAAAGTGTTGTCAAACACTCTTAAATGCTCCACTAATGATGTTATACCTAAAGAAGAGTAAAAAGTTGAGCAAAGTGCCAAAAAAAACCACACACACCAGGATTCTTGATTGCTAGCCACAAAAAAACGACTTTTATTGAAGTGTAACATACACACAGAAAATGGCACAGAACCAAAGTGTACAGCCCCAGGAATTTTGACAAAGTGGACACATCCAGGGAACCAGCAATCAGATCAAGAAACAGAATCCCAGAAGCTCCCCTTGTTCCCTTCTGGTAGCCAGCCTGTCAACAGTAACAAACACCCTTCTTGTAGCAGCCCAGTAGCTTCCCAGGGCCTCACACTTGATGTAAATGGGATCCCACGGCACCTGCTTGCCTTATTCTGAGACTCACACTATGCTGCGGGGTGTGGCTGCAGGATCATTCTTGCTGTATAGGATTTCACTGTGTGAGTATACCGTAGTATCTTCATCCATGCAACAAGGGCTTTTGGGTGCTTTCCAGTGTGCAGTTATTATGAATAGTGCTTCTATGGACAATCTAGTACATTTCTTTTGGTATATAGATATATATATACACACACATTCTTTTTGGGTACACACCTAGGAATGGGGTTTTTAGGTTATCTGATGCACAGTCAACCCAGGCTATTTCATGGAAGAATAGGAATTGATTGGATGGAGCTTAGAGGCCCGAGGACTTAACAGAAGGCAAGGAGGGAGACCTAGGATGATGGTGGAGGTGACAGCTCCACGGGACTGGAGGAATGAAGCAGGGACAGTCTCCTCTGGACTCTGCCATCCCTGGGTATTGGACAAGCCATCCTGCAGGCTGCCAGTCCTAGACTCCTTCCCTGCTGGGCCATTGCTACCCCTGGGCCACTGCAGGTCCCGTGGGATGAATCTCTCAGGCCTTCATTTCTGTGGCACTTACTCTGAAGCTCAGGAGCCCAAGGAGAGAGTTCAGGTAATTCACCCCAGGTCACTGGCCACTCCCTGGTCTGCCCAGAGCTGGAAAGGGGGCTGTACCCGAGAGACAGGGAAGGCCTCCCCACTTTTACATACCCCTTAATCTATATGGAAAGGGTGATTCCCCCCACAGAAAAGGGGGTGTCAGATGCTGGACAGCCAAACTCTAACAACAAAATGACAACAGTCCACTATAGGCACTCCATTTCACTCACCTCCCAATAGCTGCCAGGAGCAGAGGGGGCTCATTCACACATTCATGTATCTCAGAGCCCATACACATGAACTTGTTTTAAGAAGACGGCATTGAGCTCAGGGATGCTTTGGAAGGGGCAAACCACACAAAATGTGATAGGTTTGGAAGGAAAAGATGTAGTAAAAAGGATAGGAAACTTCATGGAGGAATGCAAGGAAGAGATGAGGAAAAGGAAAAAGAGAGGGAAAAGCCAGGGAGGCAGGAAATGGAGGGATAGTAAAGGTGGGAATACCCGGGAGGAGGTTGGGAGGAAGAGAAGCACGCTTTCTTCTTGACTTGATGGAGCCAGCTTCACGCTGAGCCACTTTCTCAGCTTCTCTGATGTGCGCCTATGGATTGTGTTTTGCTTCATCGGGTTAATGATGTTGACATGGAGCCAAAATAGGGAAGGATTTGAAGCCTTAATAGCAAATACAGCATAAAATTCTGCTATTGTTTGAGCACACAGCTTCCTAACAACACTTGTGTTACCAGTGAGGTTTAATGAAACTAAGAATGGTTTTCGATAAAGAAAAAAGTGTCCTAAAACCACTTACAAGGAAAGCAAGTTATTAACTGATCTGACATGGTATCTGGCTCTTTGCAGGCAATTTTACATTATTCTTGCAACTGAACCATCTTATCTTTGAAGTCATGCATTCTTCCCCATGTTACATCTTGGCAGTTGGCACATTTATTTATTTTGAATGATCATCAGAACTTTCCTCCATGGAGCACCTCTCCATGTCCTCCTAGACAGGAGAGATGGGCAGCATAATTCCCATTACCCTCAACTTGCGGGTTAGCACTTGAGGCACCGTGGCTTGCTTGTCCCGCATCACAGAGCCAGCTGGGGTGAGCTGGGGAGGGAGGTGGTTTCCTAACAAGTGGAAGAGAACAGACAGACGTCCTCTCTGTATTCTCTCCTTTCATCAGGGGTGGCATGAGTTTGTTTTCACTGGGGCCTGCAAGTTTGTCTCAGAAAACCAAAGAGCTATCTAGCCTTCCACCTGGCATCCGTGTACGGTTTTCCTTAAGCTGCCAGAAGATGCCTCCTCCTGGCAGGGGCGGGAAGAGAAGCATGCCACCTTCGGACCACAGCCACTGTACTCAGGTTGTGTGGGTCAGGTTGTCTGTGGGCCTACCTCCCTGCAAACAGGGCGACCTGGAAGGGGCATTGCTCATGGGCTCAGGGGCCTCTCGGCCAGGCATCCAGCACTCAAGTATTCATTTTCTTTTCCTATCCAATACTCTGGGGAAATGACATAATCTTTCTGAGCCAGTTTCTGTCTCTTTCTAACAGACATGTTCTCGTGGCACCTGTTGATGGTTGGAAGGTTAAGGAAGTGAGCTCACATTAATGCTCTCATCAGTGGGTAGCACAGAGGGAGCTGCTGCTCCTGTGACTTGCTCCTCCGGAGCAGGGGCCACTCTGGCAAAACCCCACAGGGTCCAGTGCAGTGCCCAGAACAGGCCCTTGTTAAGAACCCAGCCCATGTTGGGTCTGCTGCAGGAGAGCCGGAATCCGGAGGCAGCAGAAAGAGGTGGCATGAGTGGAAGGGAGATGATGCCTCGGCCAGCCCTGCTGGAGCACATAGACAGATGGCTGTCACAGTGCACATTTATGGTTAAGCTTGCTAAAATATCCACCCAACAGCTACATTTGTAGAAGGACCACCTCCAATATGGTCAGTGACAATCTGGGAAACAGGATCCTGGGCCCTTGTTAGGGTCTAGGCCATATGGCCCCAGGTAGACATACATTAAGAAAAAGTCTGATGTTGTGGGTTATTTCCTTTTTGATAGAATAATGGGGAAACAGGGAATAGAGAACTTTCAGAACTGTTTTCTCTAGGGAGATGAAAACTTTACCCATATATTTCAATGGTTAAAATGCACTAATTTGTTACCGAATCCTTGTGAATGGGGTGTTGTTGGAGTTTTTCTTTGTAGTCAGTTACCCACTGAAATGTATTAACCTAATGTATTTAAATTTGGGAATTGACATTTAATTCCAACCCATACTTATTTTTACTTGGCAATTTGTTATTTAGTCACAAAAATGTCTATTTCTCTGCCAGTTATGAAAATGAAAAGAAGTAAACTCAAATGTAATGAAGGAAATTAGTGACAGGACGAGGCCAGCTCCAGCAATCCAGGTCAGGTAGGGGTGGAGGGAGGGAGAGCCCAAAGCTAAGAGCATGCACGGTCTCTATCAGGGAGTTGACGGACAGACAAGGAGACATATTCCTAACAAACGGAGTCAGAGGATGGTACAAAAGAACTTCTTCTCTCGGAAGGGGTTTTCCGACGCAGGCACTGGTATGATGAGAGGGTCTTCCCGCACATGGGCTTCACAGTATGCCAGGAGGTCCGCCGCTGCCTGGGAGACCTGAGGGGGACACAGCAAAAGGGCGGGATTAAAGGCCAGTGCACAGCAGCCTATGTGGACATGTTCAGAGGTGTCCATGTGGACAAGCTGGAGGACAGGCTGTATTGTGTGCACAGCCAATGACAAACCATTCCCAGCCTGGAGAGAAAGTTTGTGTGAACCCAGAGGAGATGGGGTTTGAAACACATCTCCAAGGAAAGTGATGTTGCCCTGGGATGGTTGACTGACATCTAGAGAGGAATGGAAAGCCAGCAGTAAGGGCGACATCCTTGTTCTACTCAGCTGAGTGATGACTTCAGGCACCAGGCCAGCAGCCTCTCCATTACTCTGCTAAACCACTTCTACACGAACAAGGCATAGTGCTGGCCCTGGCCAAGCCAGAGTGACAGTATTTATTATATTATGAACTGATTTTTTGCAATCCACAATCATGATCAACAAAAGGCGACACCTGATGCTTCTCAAAAGAACACATATTAAGCACATTATACACAACACAGATATAAGCTACGTATTAAATAGGAATGGCCATTCCCTGCGGAGAGAGCTGCTCCTAACCAGCTTCTCTTTCCCTTCCATTTTCCTTCCAGGTTTATCTGAGGTCTGCTGACATGTGATGATTATAGATCAAATTATCCCCCTACCTCGAGTGCAAGGATTCCAGAGGAGGAGCTGGGTGGGAGAGGGTGGAGGCCCAGAAGAGTTTGCTAGGAGGAAGATGAAGTTACCAGCACATTTCATTGTCTGTCATTGGCATATGCATAGCCTATGCACTAAATCATTCTTCCAATTAGGTTTTTCTGCCTGCAAATGCTTATTACAGGCTGCATGCTAGGGTAAGCATACAGCAGTCAAAGGAAATCATTTCACCATGTTCAACATCTAAATCTTCTCCAAGATGACAAAAGCATTTTACAAATGGATGAAAAAATGTTTTATGGCCTCCATTGCACGCAGCTTCCCACATTCCCTCTGGGTTTTTTAAATTGGCCCATCTTCCAAAATTTTCCAGAGATCCTTCTGATTTCCAGCCTAGACCCACCTGATTAGGGATAGTTGGAATCCTATGGATAATTCCAGGAAAGATACAATAAAATTTTCCCTCAAATAAAGCAACTAGAATTTGAGCAGACGAGTTGGCCTAAATCCCAAAAAAATCTAAGTTTGTTGGGAATGGAGAATGGACAAAGGGGTATCAGTGAGAATCAGGCTTCTGATTCCATCCGTGTCCCTAAGCTGGCTGTGTGACCTTGGGCAAGTGACTCAACTTCTCTGAGCTTCAGTTTCCTCATTTGTAAAATTCAGGAAAATTAGAAATCTCTAAAGTCTCTTTTACTCTAAACAGTCTATAATTCTATAGAATTATACAGTAATAGCACTTTGGCCAGTATTTTGGTCCAAATAAATGTATGTTGGATGGAACAGGAAGGTTTGAAGTTTTCAGTGGTTTACAGGACACCCATACAGGAATCTTCTAGGTGAGGCAGAGGCCGCATAGATAGGCCTACCAAGGGACCAGGCCTACAGGGACCTGTGCAGCCACAAGGGACTAGAGCACAGGAGTAGGGAAGCCGACTCTGAGGTCCAGTGAGCTGCAGGGCATAACAGAGAACCTGAATCACACAGGAAGCGCAGCAGCACATGGGTATGGAGCCTGGGAGGCTGAGCTCTGAGCACAGCTTGCTTGTTGCCTCCTTTTGAGCCAAAGCCGAGTGCTCTCCCCTGACTGCCTTGTCATTTCCCTCGTCCTCTCCAGCCCCGGTTTCCCACTGTGCCCAGGGAGGCATGGGGTCTTCTCCATGGTCATCAGGTCAGGATGATCACTGAAATCATCCAACAGCCTCTCTGGCAACTACTGTGAGTTGGCCTTCACTGCTGCCCAGGCCAGCACGCAAAAGGGTGGTAGTGTTCGAACAGATAATCCTCTTCTAAGAGCCACCTCTCCTCTTAGATCTCTGAGGGTCCCAGCCCGACTTCAGTGAGGTCTTCCAGATGGCTCACAATGTCTCATCTGACCATCATGTGCTCTATAGCTTTCTAGTTTTCACTGCTCTCATCTAGTTCACTTTCTGGGACATGCTTCTGTTTGTTCTGAATTCTCTAGAAACCTCATGTTCCCATCTTGGAAGTATTTACTGAGTTTCTATCTTTTGGCTAATTGAGAGGATATAGGAGAAAGAATAAGCCAAGATTCTTTGCCTTCTGGAAAATCTAAATGAGAAGACTAAAAAATTAGCAAGTTACTGTAATAATTGGTATGTGCTAATACACCACAAAGGAACAGGAGCACACCACTGCAGAGTCATGAGAGGGGAGGGAGACAGGGGTGTCTGACAACCCCATCCATTCCACACTGTGGCAGTTATCTTGGCAAACCTGCCTCCTTTATCCAGAGCTAGCCTTCAGCCTTCTAGGCCCATATTCTAGAAGATCTTCTGGTCTTGCTTACAGTGGACCATTTCTTGTGGCAGATCCATAGTAAACAAGTTCAAGAAGCAGCTGCATAAGACTATTAATAAAAATAATAATTAAATTTGCTGAATGCTTATTATGTGCCAGACACTGTGTTAAATGCATTATCATAAATGGTACATAATTTAATTCTTCTAAGTCACATTCTGAAAGTCACTTTACAGGTGAGGAAACTGAGGTACAGAAGTTAAGAAACTTGCCCAAGGTCGCACTCCGGTAAGAGAGAAAGCCAGAATTTGAAGCTAAGCAGTGTGGCCACAGAATCTAGATGGTATAGTAGCTGCTTAATTGATATGGAAAATTGTAACTGTCCAGTGGACTGGAATGTTCTCATCTGCTGGGCCAGCACACACTCTCTTTGTAGACCAGCTATTGGGGACCCCACATGACCAAGCAGATAATGCCTTTGCTTTGCTTGAGCATCTTGTCTATAAAAACCTTGCCTCTAGTTCCTCCGGGTGGAGCACTTTTCACCCCTTTGGTTTGGTGCTGTCCAATTCGAATCCATGTATGAGCGAATAAACTCTTGAAAAGCTTTACTGGGTCCCAGTTTGCCTTTTAACAACACTATACAAGTAGTCCCTAGTTGGCTTACTAAATTTAAGTTCTGTTTCCTTCCCCCTTGTTCAGGTTACATTCTGGAGGGCTTTGACTAATTTCCTGGGAGCAACCGCAAGGGGGTGCATTCCTGGGACTGCTGCACAGCAGGCCCAGGAAGGCACTGGAGAAGGAGGCTCAAAAATTGTAGCTTTGGGAGACGGGTGGTGGAGGGCATATGAGGCTGGGCCATGTTCTGTGTCTGTTTCCCTCACAGCCATGCGTCCAGGACACCTTAAAGCATGCTGTTAACGTCTGACCTTACTGGCTCTAAGCAGTCTAATCTAGGGATTTTTCCATCCACCCTCAAGGGTGTGATTCTGCACTTAATGTCACATTTTTTTCTTTCGAGAAAACAAGCTGTTCTTAGACTGCCTCCTTTTTGTTGATGGCATTTTAGGATCACAGATGGGTTTGCTTAGTTATAACTACATTTCTCTGGATTGTGGAGTCCTGTCCATGCACCTGTACAGCAGGAATTATTGTGTAATGAAGTGGTATTTACATCCAGGAATAACTACACAGTTTAAAACCAAATGTGAAGATCCAGGTTGTTTCCATGCAATACTGATTCCCCGGATGCACTCAGATGACTGAAACAACACTGAAGAGGGCAGTGTGAGAGAGTAAATCGTGTCACAACAAAAGAATCAAAGGAGTTCTCCACCTTGGCCGTCAGCCCCCTTACTTCACATAGTGCCCAATGGCCCTGTATTCCTGTAGAACCAAAGCATCTTGGGTTGACCCCTGAAGTCTGCTGTAATGTGATCTGAAAAGGCAAATGTATGTAATGAGCATCTTAATGAGCCTTCCATATGAAAGGGGACATCCTGACCCACAGCTTGGTACCTAGGTTAATTAACCTAAATCTGCTCTTTATGTTGAATGGGAGGGTTTTCTTAATCAGTCCTAGATTGATTTTTATGTTTGAAAGTTTCCTTCACTGAATATAATATATGGGTTGCAGACATTGCCAAATTGCATAAAACATCTGTCATCTTTGAAACATAAAATAGACTCATTTTCAAAGAGAAAATTTTATTCTGGTTGGAAATTTAAAACTCCCCTACTGTTCATGCTTTCTCATCAACCCTCAAATTCACTATTACCTGAAGTCCTCTGTTATGAAATGCCCAGGACATCTCTGCCTACTTTGCTTAGTGTTGAACTGTTAAGAGTTCCAAAATAATAGATGTAGAAAAGAATCAGCAGCTTGGAAACACTGTGGGATTTTACCATTACATTTCAGAGTAAAAGAGGTGATTAAAATAGCCCAAGTTAGCACATAATCCCTGTTAGTTGCACTATAATTACAAGCTTCCATGATGGGAGAAAATGTTGCAATTACTATGGTCACATTCCACACAAGACAGATAACATAATTACTGTCTGGCTGTTGACACCCACTGCATTTATTCTTTGCATCTAAAGTAGAGCAACTCACACCTATTTCTCAGCAATCCCAGTCTATTTAACAGTACTACTTGGAATCAATTACATCTTTGGTGGCTCTGCCTACTCTTGCCCACCTCCCCCAGGAGGGCAAAGTGGGATTTGCGGAGACCACAGTCAGGCTGCAGCCGCCATGGTGGAATGGCATCTTTTACAACAAGGGCAAAGTCCAAGAGAAGAAGTCGTGGACCATTTTCCCTAGTGGAACCCTCACCTCTAAATTTATTTATTTATTTTTAACTGGATGGACTTTTATTTAAGTCAAAAGCACTGCCTGGATGGGCTAAGTGTGGATACCAAGCCCAGACCCCAAAGCCCTGACCTCCAGCCAGGACAGCTGTGACAAAGGGATGAGGGGCGGGCCTCACCTCTACATTCTGAGCAAACACTGCATGGTGAGTCCTTCTGAATTTTTTTTCTTTCTTCTAATGTTGGGAAGGATTGAGATCAACACACTAGTTTCTCAGAACATTCTCAAG